TATATATATATTGATCTCAGTCTTGTGTGTGGTTTGTGGGTGCTCTGGTATGGCTAATATGTAGTATAGAATTGTTCATGTGCGGAGAACAGTGGAAAATGAATATTATCAAAGATTATCCCAGAGTGTCGACCGGACGAGAACTGAGAGGATTTCTGACTAGGTGTGATCACTTATAGTGCGGTCAAAAATTCGTAGCGGAAAATTAAGCTTCAAACATCTCTTTAACGGCTGAATCCATGTCACCCATACTTTACACAGCAGTTTATATTAATTTATCTTAACTTAATCATACTTGGGCACAACAATTCAGGCTAGATTTGAAAAATTCATCTTCACAAATTTATACAAAATATATATATCTCTGTCACGCGTAAATTGGTATCTTTCACAGTACTTTCGCTTCTCACACTCATTTTGCTTATGCATATGGTCTACGCCACAGCTCACCAAAGACACTATTAGAGTCAAAACTTGTTACAAGAAGTTGATTTTATAGTGAACACTTTTAATGCAAGGTTCACAAAATATGTGTTCAATAAGCATAATGTTGAGATTAGAAAACAAATTATGACGGACTTGCTTTTTAAAACGACATCGTCCCAGCAGTAAACCTTTTAAAATCTTTAAAAACCACCCTTTGGGAATTTTAATTGGTATTTATTAAGGAATTTACTAGAAGAAATCTAACAGGTGTTTACAAAAATATATTGTCTATAAAGACAAATTGAAACAAGTCATTGTGCCGGAGACTTTGTGTTCGACAGTTAAGGAAATATTTGACAATAAATTGCGCCTCGAATTTTGTTACCTCTTTAAAGGTAACTTAATAACTATGATTATATCTGATGAGATGTACTAGGGTAATAGCAAGGGTACTTATAAACCTAGCATGCTCCACAATGAGTAATTACTATGCTCTTGGCAAACAGCCACACAAAGAGAACGTTTCAATCAAAAACTTTTCCGAGGAAATATAATTTTGCCACCGTGCTTGTGATGATTGTGAGGAATTGCCACAACGGAAATACGGGTGCACACACAAAAAATCATCTTCAGATTGTCTTCCGAGCGCAAAAAAATCTCTTTTTCAGGTCTGTAGAAGCGTTACTCAATCATTTCAGATACGATTATTTGTTTAAGGAAAGAAAGCTGACTAGAATAAAGCAATTAACTGTGGTGAGAAAGCGATCTATAACTTATGTCTACATTAATGAATTCCTTGCCTTTGTGTCGTTATCTGTGGACTACTTGTTCCAAATTATACCCCTGAGGGCAAATATGGATTCATGTCAAGTTTAAATAATATCAAATTATGTAATGATTCTACGAGTATGCCACTGTATTTATGTCTGCCTTGCTAGCGAAGATAATGCAAGCGCTTCTGCCGTTTTCTAGCACATAGATCTATGTCTCGTGTTTCGGTCCAGTAGGTCTGTGTATTCACTTTTTGTATATTTATGAGAAGTGGAAGATATCTTTGCTTGGCAGATGTGCACCTGATAAAAACTTGTAAAATTCTTTGTACCATAGCAACAAAGATCAATGCACACTTGTGGACATTTTTGAGTAGTGTCTCAGAATAATAATCTTTAGTTGCGAATACCAAGCAGTCGTATAATCAGAACTACGACCACACAGTATTGTTGTCTTTTTCTTCTCGTACAAAAAAGAGAGTTTTACTTTAATTCGAGCTTGACTTCATGACACCTCCATTTTGATTTAAAAACCTGAACAACTTATTCTGAACCTGTGTAAAGTAGTCAAATAAAATGTTTGGAAACAGAAAAAAAGTTTTCATGACAAGGTTGAAGTGAGATTCTAGCGATGGCGAGTGAGTGGAAACTAACTGCCGAGAATTCCACCTCCATCAGATCTGGAACTGTCGAGGCTCCGACCAGCCTTAATGAGACCAGCACTGAATCACCGCCTACGTCTATGTCCAGTCTTGGAGCGACTGGCTTCATCAGTAACGAAGTTCGAGAGCTTGTGGTGGATCTTATCATGAATGTCATCATCCAGATTTCTTTGCGAGTCTTGAGCATCGTTAGTAATATCGTCAACATTCTGATCTTCGCCCAAATAGGTTTGGACGACGGTGTAACGGTGACGTTCTTCGCGTTGGCCGTCAGTGACCTCATGTGGTCAATCTTCGGTTTGTCAGTTCGAGTGTTCACTATGACGGACGTGATCTTTAAAGTGCGGCCATACGTGCGCCTCCGGTCGTTGGCTTACATTTTGTCCTGGTACACTAGCCTGTTCGCCGACTGGTCTATGCTCATTACTTTATTTCTGTCCGTGCAGAAGTGTGCCTGCGTGGCCGTACCCCTGCTCTTCAAGCATCTCTTCACAGCACGACGCTGCATACTTCTTCTTATCTGCGTATTCGTGGCAGTTGTTGTTTGGTATGCGCCCATCCTCTCCTCCTTACGTATGGTTCGAGCTTTTGATAAGTCCACAAATAGCACCAGACTGCGCGGGAAAAGGGTTGCGTACTTTTGGAGCGCGTACGCCCTTTGGCAGCCAGTGAACAAGATAGTTCTCCCAGCGGTTTCTCTGAGCGGTGTGAGCATTTGTGTGCTCATTCTCGTCACAAAGCTGCGACAAGCTATTGAGTTCCGCCAGGCCGCAACAGTTGAGTCGCAAACATCTAAAAACAACTCAACAAAAACAAAAGAAGTTCGAGTGATCCAGGCCGTTGTCCTCGTCTCCACTATATTCGTGGTTTGTTACACGCCAGACATCATTAGACGGTTGTGTGAGATTGCATTTCCAATGTTCAGGGAAAAAGGTCCTTACAACAACATTCACACCCTGGTTAACCAATTCCATAACGTTGCGACGCTTGTCAATTCCTCAGTGAACGTGTTTGTTTACCTCAAGTTCAATAGCCGCTATCGACAGTTGTTTTTAAGCGTTGTATGGCATAGGTGGGCACTGACCAAATAGAGCCAAAGCGCAGAAAAATAGCTCATACTCATAACCCGTGTAGAGCATCAATAATAGGAACCCGGTTTATGAGATAGTGTTTTATTTTTCTGCAATGAGAAAAATTGATATTTTATTAGCAGAGTGCACAAACTGTACAGAGTCATCTAAGAGGCAGAATCAAGAAAATAAAATTAATGGGCATATCACAACAAAAACGTGCACAGAACTAAACAAACTCCTTCAATATACATTAAGTATTTTGTTTCCTTCTTCCTTAAAAAGATCATTGTCTTGATAACCGTAAACGCAAAGTGTTGTGATATGAGTTATGTTTAGGTCAGGCTCTGGAAAGTAGCTACGATGAAAGAAATAGTAACCACCGTTATTGCATATGAAGATAGAAGGAAGGAGGGAATAAGAACAAGGTCTGTTTTAGGGCAACAGACCTTGGCAGGTTGCATCTATTTACCCTTCTTGCTTTTTTGTTGTTGTTTATTGTTTTGTTTTGTTTTTTACTGATTCTTTTAGCTAACGATAAAAATCAGATCCTTTACAATGATCTTACTCATCAAAGTATATCGTGCGGGTGGTTGGTGAGTGCTCTCGTGTGTGTGGTTTGCTTCTTCTTTCCTTTTAAAAAATATGTCATTCTTATCTCTCCTCCTTCATTTTGATGTTTGTCCCTATCTCGTAACACGTCTAATCTCCGGCACTTACATTATGATCTTAATGCGTTGTAAGGGTCGTAAAACTCTTACTAAACCTTAATTAAACTAATGTGTTTTTTCGAATGAACCACCTTTTATTCAGTGGTGTAACGGTTAAGGCCCCAAGTCCACTGGCATTTTTTAGTCAGTTGCAGGCCAGGCTCACATGCAAATGACCTCGTTTTCGTCAGTCACTGACACATTTGCCTGACTACGCAATTGTTCTGCATGTACGCTTTTTCGTCAGCCATACTGGTGACTAAGAAAGCCTCGATTCGACTCATTTTGGAAGCAAATTTGCACCTTCGATGTGGCACGGTGGATGATTTGAGGACGCTACTGACAGGTCCATACTTCTTTTCTTTCCTTCTGTTGTTTCTGCCCATCTGTTTTGCTCATTCCATGCTCTACAATGCCCTTATTGTGTCGATATGTTTCTTTTTACTCATACAAACAAACAAACAGATGCTCGATCAAACAAACAAATAAACAAACTAGCTTTTTCATGTAAAAGTTGCGATATCGTCCCACGAGTGGGGGTGGGGGGGTGTCTTTTTTCATCGAATACCTCCGTGTATCTGTTGGAATGTTTTATGCCACTCAGCTCGAGTTAGCCCTGACAGTTAAGGTCGAAGCTACCCGCCTCCCAAGTGATCTTTATTGTGTATTAAGGCATTAAACACTTTCAGTATCAGGTAATGAGAACGTTTGTCTTAGTTTTGTGACAAGGGAAATGGAATTGGCGATAAGACCACGACATATATTTTCCAGAGAGATCCCTCGTCGTCAGATTATGGTTGTGCTGTGCTGCGAAATGATCTGTTTTCCTCTGTGTCAAGAAGGGAAAAGATGTCCACACACACACACACACACACACACACACACACACACACACACACAAACACACACACACATATATATATATATATATATATATATATATATATATATATATACACACGCATACTCACACACACATACTCTCACTCACACACATACACAAGCACACACACACACACACACACACACACACACACACACACACTCACATGCACACACGAACACACGCATGCACGCACGCACGCACGCACGCACGCACGCGCGCACGCACGCGCGCACGCATAAATGCGCGCTTGCACGCACGCATACATGCTTCATAACACACACACACATACACACACACACACACACACACACACACACACACACACACACACACACACACACACACACTCACACACACACACACACACACGCAGAGGGGCGAGAGAGAGGGAGGTGACCGGGAGGGATGGGGGGGGGGGAGGGTTGGGGGAAAGGGATGACCGACAAATGTTTCCACTTTCACCTGATCTTTCTTTACCATCACCTTTGAAACTCGGGAATTTAATTTAAGTGACATGAACACCACGTTGAAATTTTACCCACGTTCCGGAAAGCAGATCTACTCGATCTCTGAGCATCATTCGCGCAGGTGTTCGTCTGGTCAGACTCCACGGACCAAAACTTACATTTCTAGTTTACCTCACCCCACACACAAATTGTTACTAAATCTTTTGAGTGAAATGCGACCAAAGGGGCTAAATGCAGAAAAGGTGACCAGTCTATTTCCTTGCGATCTCATGTAATTCCATTGCAACTGGAGTACAAAGTTTAGCCGACAAGAGGTGATAATTCTTCCAAGAACGAGCAAGTAGACGGGTCATCCCGTTCATTAAAAGGTATCTTCTCTCGACCTCTGAAAAGGTCATTGACTGATCCTGTCCTTGCGCACTCATCTTCCATTACCACTACGTGTATAATATATAGGTATCTCAAACACATTTATTGACTAGATGGTCTTGTTCAAGCAATAGTTGAAATACCCCAGCTCAGAATGCGGGGCTCATGACCTGACACCTTGGTTAAAAAGTAGGGTAAAAAAAAAGTTATACAGACTTTTGATTTCTCTTTATTGCTCCCTCAATTGTGCTTGTCTATAGTACGCATAGTTCTCCACCCACATAGCTTACGAAAGCAGAGGAAACAAAAAAACTCCCGACCGACTGTTCTCCCTTAATGCACTGGCACTGTCACCTGCTGTTCTTAAAAAAAAACCCACAGTGCACGAAACAGAAAAAAAACAGAACTGTACTGTAAACAGTTCTGTAGAATGCAGGTGTTAGATCTTCTTGCTTGTCAAGCGCATAGAAGTAAACAGTTTGGAAAAGGTGTGAGTAAGTAAGTGGAAAGGGAAAAAGGTAAAGGAGTGTTGTGAGCGTTGTCGAAATGTGGGCTGTGAGAGCAGGCTCTGTTACGGTTCCAGCAGTTTCAAGTTCAAAATACGTTCCTATTTTTTCCACTTTCGAATTATTCGACCTGATAAAGCTTAACACTTTCCATGCTAATCCACTATGTAGTATCAATTAGGTGTTGAAGCGCCGCCAATTTACGATCTGTTGCTGATATTATGCTTACTGTCCTTTGTTCCATCGCTTCTAAAAATTACAAAATATTTTAGTGTTTATTACTCGTAATAATTATAGTTGTCGTTAAACATGTTTGTTGGAAACAAGCGTCAGTTTTAATTAAATAAAATAGGTGTTGTAACTAACCTCTCCCAAGCCTACATTTAATATTCAGTTTAACACACTGGCCAGACACAAACTTTGAAAATACTCAGGTACATCACGTATAGAAGGAGGTATAAGATTAGATTTCTGCTTTGGGCTTTCTAGGACATACATCATGAAAGTCTAGTAGAACGGAAGTGACAGGCGAAACTAAAAGATGCGGCCTGTGAATGCCCTCTTTTTGATGGAGGACATGTTGGAAGGCTTAAAGACTGGGCCCTTGCTTGTTTTAGCAAGTCGGTATTCCTGTTTTGGAAATGTAACGAGTAAATTCAAAACATAAAACAGTACGGGAGCGCTTTTTGTTCAACGCGCATAAAGCTGAAGAAAATGCACGGTTGAAATCAAGATTAGTTTTAATGTCCTTGCTTAGCTGGCAGAGAAAGAAATAAATATTTAACAAACGCAATGTTTTCAGAGTATGGTATCCATTGTTCTTTGTATTTTTAATTCTGCATGTCCTTGTTTGTGGATAGCATAATACGCTAAGTGGATCAAACCTGGCCAGTTACCAGAAATATCATTTAGAAATTAAGGACAACACAGATAGCTCTTCTTTTTTCCTTTAAAGGAAGATGCTGGGTATGAATAAACAAGATCAGATAAAGCACACAGAAATACCCCCCC